CCTCACTCCACACCCCCATGTATTTCTTCCTGGTGAACCTGTCTTTCTTGGAAATCTGCTTCACCAGCAGTGTGGTTCCTCAGCTGCTGATTCACCTCCTGGTGGAGCAAAAGACCATCACCATTGCGGGCTGCGCTGCCCAAATGTACGTCAACACCATCATGGGCCTTATGGAATGCTGCCTCCTAGCAGTCATGGCGTATGACCGTTACATGGCCATATGTCACCCCCTGCACTACAAAACTATCATGAGTGGCCGGGCGTGTGCACAGCTCGCGGGTGCTTCGTGGATCATCGGCATCTCGGTGGAAGTAGCTCAGACCACTTGGATCTTCAGCCTGCCCTTCTGTGGCTCCAACTGCATCCACCACTTCTTCTGTGACATCCCACCAGTGTTGAAGATGGCATGTACAGACACATCCAAAAATGAGATTATGGTCTTCACTGTGTCGGTGCTGTTCATCATGAGCCCTTTCCTGATGATAATCCTGTCCTACATCTGCATTATTTCCACCATCCTCATGCTGCCATCAGTGGAGGGAAGGAATAAAGCCTTCTCCACCTGCTCCTCCCACCTCATGGTGGTGACTTTGTTCTATGGAATGGCCCTTATCTCTTACCTGGGGCTCAAGTCTAGCTTCACCCCCGAAAGTAATCAAATGATTTCCCTCATGAACATAATTGTGGGACCAGTGTTAAACCCCATAATATACACTCTGAGGAACAAAGAGGTGAAGGGAGCCTTTATAAAAACAGTAGAGAAGAGCATCTTTTCACACAATTGGAGAAAACAGAGAATGAAAGATAGAGTTAGTTAAAACAGGGAAATGAGGGAAATTCATACATGTTTTGTTGAATTACTCCCGATGACCCTCACTTTTTAAATTGAAATTTTGCCATTTGAAAAGCTTTGACCTCTTGTAAACCTGTCGGGAAAATGAGAAGAGAAACTTTTCTTACCAAAAATACCCAAAATTTTAAATATTTAAAATTTCGTGAAAATTTGATAGAACCTTTTCACCAGATTTAAACTTCATTAAAAAATCAAATGACAAAATGTAGTCCAAGTAGTTTCTTGATTTTATATCTTCAAAATTTGAAATGTCAAAGCAAAAAATAAGATCAAAATGAGAATCATTTCATGAAAGGTTGAACTTGGTGTTTGCAAATTTAACAATTTTCATCAAAATTTTAATATTTGAAAAATTGCAACCTGCTCTACAGAAAAGTCCATTTAGGCTTCTCCTTTTCATGCTGTCAGTCCAGTGCAGCATTTTAGGTTTTTGGTTGGGTTGGATTAGTTTTTTTTGGCCTGTCTCTTGATTGCATTTCCCCAGTGCTCCCTCTGGTCTAATTTTAAATAACATTCCTCAACACTTATGAATGGCTTCCTATGTAAGACTCTGATGGATCTTTCAATGCCTAACATGATCAGGTCAAACAACAACTCGAGGAGCTGGCTATTGACTTCTATGGCATTTTGCACAGGTTCAGAGCCTATGCTAGCAGATCATGGTGCATACCATAGATTCATTGATTAAAAGGCCATAGGTGACCATTTTGATCATCTAGTTTGACATTCTGCTTAATGCAGGGCAGAGAATTTCAACCTGGTGATTCCTGAGTCAGAGAAGCACTGTACATATTTTATATTACATATGTAAAATAATAGCTGTGTTATAAACTCATATAACTATAAGTGGTCCGATCAATGTATCACAATATTGCACCAAATCCCTGTATATATGGTACATCGTTGTATAACTATATGATAAAATACATTTGTATATTCTTATAATGAGAAATACTACTCTGTTGGCTTGTCTATCTATATCACTGCCTACGTATAATAAATACCAAATTTAAAACCTCTATCCCTAGCTCAGCAATTACAGGACTATATGCCTTCTTTCCCTAAATAGCCCTATAATGCATTTTTAAGATGCACTGGCTGGCAGTACGTCTTGGCTTTTATTATTTCTCTTTAATATAATTTGCTGATTTGTTTAAAATGATATTGTTAAGAAGATAAGTAATGTGTCACGTTGGAAGAAGTGAGAGTTACATACATGTAATGATAAACAAAAAACCTCCCTTTCTCTGAGAAACAGAGTGGCCTAGGGCAACATGTCCCAGAAACTACAAATTCAGCAAGAACATTTTAGGCATTAGGTTATTAACACTTATGCATGAATAATATCTAGGCTATGTAAAATTGAATGGATAATGTGTTGGATAAAGATTGGGGGCCAATTGAGAATGGCAACATGTATGAGAACACATATGAAAATAAGCCCAATGCTGGAGAAATGCTGGACCAGAAACTGACCAATGAGACTGAAGGACCAGACCAGGAGACCCAGGGAGGTGACGACCATCATGGAAGAAGGAAGGGCTTGTTAATGGAATGTGGTAACTTGGGCCCATTTACCTATTCAGTCTTGTCTGTTATTATTGGCAGGCAGAACATTATGTCCAGACACTATAGGAGACACTAATTGTGTCTGAAATTGTATTCAATAAAGGCAAAACTAATTAAACCTATACTCCCAACAACCAATTACACAGTTTGATAAAACAGGGTAAATCCCACATAAATGTCCTCATCTCGGCTTCGTACATTAATTTAGCAAAGGTAGGTGTGATGTTGCACTCTATATGTTTATGGAAATATGCTAATGAGTGTAAATATGACATAACTGGAATATGCTTTGTGCTAGATATGCCATGTAACATATCTTTGAAAAGGTTATGATCTACTGAATATATTCATCCTATTTGTAGGCATGTATAATTTTTATATCTGAAGTTATGAGCACTGGCTCTATGCCTGTATTTTAAGTGTTTTCTGTAGGAAACACACAAGGGAGGTTTGGTCAACATATTGTGAAGGGGTTGTTCAAGTAACTGGGAGTATTTAACTAACAATGGACTTTGGGAGAC